TCTCCTTGGTCTTTTTCACTGCTTCCAGTATTCTCTGTAGTGCTGGTTTGGAAGACATGAATTCTTTCAGTCTATTTGTGTTATGGAAAATGTTCTGTTCCCCTTCAGCTTTGATAGATAGTTTTGCTGGATGAAGTATTTGGGGTTGGCATCCATGGTTGTTTAGAACTGAGAATACTTTGTTCCAGGCTCTTCTTGCTTTCATAGTTTGCATTGAAAAGTCAGCTGTCATTCTGATGGGCTTTCCTTTATATGAAACTTGTTGTTTTTCTCTAGCAGCTGAGGGAGAGTATGACTTACATATAACCACTGGATGGGCTGACTAGGCTCCAGTGGACAAATTTACACTGAAGGACATTTGGGTTCAAACACCTGAATGAATAGGAGTATGGCAGAGTGCATAGGGTTCAGTAGAGGGGACATGGATGGGGGAGGGAGACTGAATGTGAATGGGAAATATTGTATGAAATTTTAAATTCTCAATAATAAATTTTAAAAATAAATTATGAAACTATTAGAAGAAAAGATAACAATATCTCCTTAAATAACTAAAGAATTAATACCAATCTTTTTGAAAATATTCCAAAAGTTTTGAAGGGGAAGGAATATTTTTCACTTATTTTATATGTCTATGAATACTTTGGTATTAAAACTAGACAAGCAAACTACTAAAAAAAAACCAGACAGATATCCTTGATTAACAGAGATGTGAAAATCCTTAAAAGACTAGAAAAAAGCAAAATTAAGCCACACATTTAAAGGAACATAGGCCACAATCAGGTGGGATTTATTCCTGGAATACAAGAATGATTAGACATACCCAAATCAATATGATACATGGTACTAACAAAATGAACAACAAAAATATCATATCATCTCAATAAAATCAGAAAACATTATTTATCAAAATTTAATATGTGCTCCTAATAAAAGCTCCCAGCTTAACAGTTATAGATGGATATAACTGAACTATAATAATGGCTGTGTATGACAAGTTGATAGCTAGCATCATTCTCAGTGACATGAAACTTGTATACTTCTGTAAGATTATACACAGAACAAACTGTTGCCACTTTTATTCAAAATCAATCTAAGATTCAAGTCCAAAACTCAAGCAGGAAAAGGAAATAAAAAGGCATTCAAGTCAGACATGAAGAAGTAAATTATGTTTGTAGATGGCATGACCCAGTACATAGAATACTATAAAGATTACCACAAAACAAACAAATAATTAAAGTTGAGAATACACAATCAGCATACCAAAATCAGTTGTATTGCTGGTAAATAGAAACAGCAGAAAAAGACATTAATAAAATTCCCAATTCACAATTTCAATAATTTAAGAAATATCTGGCATAGATTTAACAAAGGAGGTAAAATATATACATATGAAATATTACTGAAGAAGACATAAATAGAAATGTATCTCATGTCCACCTATTAGAGAATTATATTTTAAATATCCACAATTCCAAAAATAATGTATACATTTGAATATAATGATTTTGGGGTATTCCAAAAGCACAGGCATAAACAAAAAGTTAAAACCAACTGGATGACATCAAAGCAAATGCTTCTGAGCAACAAATTAAACAATAAACAGATTGAAGAAACATCTTTGAAAGGGGAGAAAATACTACTGAAGCATCTTTAATAAAGGATTAATAATTAAAACATTAAGGAAGTCAATAAATCAATAGCAAGAAAATAAAAACAGAGTATATAAATAAATATTTCTCAAAATAAATACAAATAACTGGCCAAAATAAATTTCTCAACATCAAAAGTCAGGGAAATGAAAATCAACTTCAGCGAGACATCATCTCACACCATAAGAGTGGCTATTACCAAAATGATGAAGGATAGCACATACTGCCAAGAACTTGGAGAAAAGCTCACTGGGAATTTAAATATGTGTGAGCATTTTGGAATACAGCATGGGAGCTCTGAAATTAATATAGAAGTGCCACATGACCCAGTAATTCTTCTGCTGGGTCCTATATATTAAAAAGAAATGAGTTCAGTATATCAAAGAGATATCTTCACCCCAAGTACTTCACAATATTCATAGAACAGAAGATATCTAATAGACCTAAAGTGCACACTGATGGATGAATAAATTCAATGTAATACATATGTGCATGTATATGAAGATTATTCTAGATCAGAGGAGATAAAAACAGGATATCCTCTCATTTGCAACAATATGGGTAACACAATGAAGTGAAATAAACCAGGGACAGAAATACAAAAATTATTTGATTTTATTCATATGTGGAATTTGAAAAATATCAAACTCATAGTATAGAGTCATGTGGTCATTGGGAAGGGCTGAGGTAGGTGTTGGAAGGATGCCAGTTGAATGGCATAAAGTCTATTATGAAAGAAAAATAAGTTCTGTGTATCTCATGTTACAGCCAAGTGACTACAGTTGACAATAGCATTTTAGTGCTTCATTCTTTCTGAGAATCAGCTGTAAAGGTACCCACTGCAAAACACAAAGTCATGAATATGTGAGTTTATGCATAGCTAAATGATGCCATTGTGGTAGACCCTTCAGAATGTATATCATTACCTAATATTGTTCACAGTGAATATATATAATATTATATATAATTTTACTTGTCTATTACACTATAGTAGAGCTGTCAGGGGAAAAGCTGATGATAAATTGGAAGAGTGATAAGTTCCTGAAACCAGTGTGAGACACTCACTGGCAGTACAGAATGTGTTTAAATACCTTTAGGGAAATTGGAATTTCCAAAGATTAACCAGGCTGAGTCAAAGATATATCCTGATTTATTGTGCATCAGCAGAAAAAAATGTTTTTCTAGGAAGCAAAATCTGTAAGACTGATTAGGTATAGAAAATAAGTGATATTAAACTGTCTAAAAAAACACTTTTTTCACTTAAGATGTAGATAAAAGATAATGCAAGTTACCACGATAAAATGTAGCAAAAGCAGCAAAATTATGCAAGATGAGGGGATATGGTTGGTTTGAGAGGTGACAATCTGTTTTTAACTTAAACTTTGTGAATTGTACTCATAGATCAATAGTGTTGATCTCAGGAGAGCAAGTAAATTCAAACAGAATGGACAAATAGTGACTTGAGGGCTAGAGAGCTAGCTCAGTGGTTAAGATCACTGGCTCCTCTTGCAGAAGACGGGGTTTGAATCCTATCACCCACAGGGCTGCTAACAATCGTTCATAATTCCAATTCTAGGGGATCCAATGCCCACTTCTAGCCTCTGTGGACACTTCATGACACAGGTGCACTTAATAAAAGCAGGCATGTCATTCATACACATAAAATAAAAATAAATCACATAAAATTGTTTTAAGTGATTCAATTTGGTAATATGAATATATTAGCTACAGAAGTAGTCAGCAGAGGGGAATACACATCGGAATGAGTTTAGGTACAATGTGTCCAGAGAAGTGTGAGCTACTTTGTCTTTTGTTGCTTTTTAAAATAAAACTCTAGGTAAGAAGAAATGAAAAAAGGTAGGAAAGAGGAAAGGTCAAAAATGTTTCCAGGTTGATTTATTACAGGTAGAATGAGAAAGACCTGGAAAATGAAAGAAATGGGTACTGACATCAGACAACTGAAACTGGGGGTGGAAAAAGGAATTTTGAAAGCTGTGAGCAAAAACCCCTAAGTCGATTAGCTCACTTTCAGAACGAAGCTGCTAAAGTAGTTCATTTCCCTTCCAAATCTCAAGCCTGTTTCTGCCTCATTATTTTTTTTAATTTCCTAGGAAAAACCGCTGGCCTTCGATGTAGCTTGTCCCTCATGCTTTGGTTGTTTAAGAGATTTCTGACAGATCAGGAAAAGCTTGAGGCAATTTTTCCTCCTGATACCCACATACTTTGTAATTCCTGGGAGAAAGGAAGCAAAGGACGAGCAGCTCTAAAACGAGGTGTATAATCATAGCAGTATGCGGAGACCAGGAGACTGTCCCAGCGGTGTGCATGCAGTCAAACGCTTTGCTAGTGCTGATAAACAATTTTCAGCAGAGAGCAATATTATACCCAGATTGGCCCATTTCTCTCCTCAATCCTTTTATGTTGCAGGAAGGCCTTTCTTGTAATTAGGAGGTATTTCCTGAATGCATACGGTTGAGAGTCACGTACCCGGTGCTACTTTCCAAGAGCCTAAGTACCGCAGTATTTGATGTTACCATACTGTAAGCTAATTCTGAGTACACTGCAATGGCCTCTTAAAGGAGTCCACAGTTAGATTCATCCCCTTGCCAAAGGGGTAAATTCCTCATTAAAGCCTTTTTAATTTTGTTTTTATTCTTTCTTCGTTTCATTTTCCCCAGTTCCTCACGTGGGCATTCTGGAATCTTCCAAATAGACTTTGCACATAAATATTTCCTTCAGCTTTGTTTAGGGGCGAATCCAGACAGAAAATCCTAGTAACGAATCATCTAAGAATCACTCACTGTTCAAGAAAACAGAAAGGGCCTGGACAAATGGCTTAGCTATTAAGAGTACTAGTTGCTCTTGCAGAGGACCCAGGTTTGGTTCCCAGCACCCCAGAACTTCACTTCCAGGGGATCCCACTCTCCTGGTACCTGGGCATTGCGTGACACAGGCGCATTTACATATATTCAGACAAAACATACATACACATAAAAATACATAAATCAAAAATAATATTTAAAATATAAATTAGAAATACTAGGTGGGTAGGGAATTATCCACGAACAAGGCGTAAGGGCTGTGGTTAAGGGCGGGTGACACAAATCTCCCTACATCTGTCAGTGAGGTTACATTAACACTGATATATCCATCCCAATCAGGCTGACCTTAAGCTCTTCTAGACTACTCTTAGTAAATTAGTTCCTGGGCGTGGTCCAGGCCACACCCACCAATTTTATTGCATTAACACTTGGTGGATTTGGGGATTGTTACGTATAACAATCACACTAAGAAGACTGCCTTTCTCCTGGATTTTTCAGTTGCTATAAGGAGAACCGAACTGTGCTGAGCATGGTGCCGCTCCAACACCCCCAGAGTCACATTGCTCCTGGGTGCTTCCTTGGAACCTTTCTAGTGGTTCTACTGTCCACATGCTCGGATGCCTGTGGTAAGCCACCAACATTTGAAAGCATGCAGATCGTTGGCATCCCTAAGATCACTTATGGGGCTGGAGAAAGAGTAGAATATGCCTGTAAACCAGGATATACACGAAGAACTTCAAATATCTCCACCGTTTATGAGGCAAATGGCCAGAGGTCAGCCATTTCAAAGAACGCTTGTTCCAAAAAATCATGTCAACAGCAGAATGATCCTTTAAACGGGAAGATACACCTTATAAATGAAAGTATTCAGCTTGGAACACAAATTAAATTTGTTTGTAATAAGGGTTTTTACTTAATTGGCAGCAAAATTCTGCGTTGTATTGTTAAAGGATCAAATGTGCAGTGGAATGACCAGCCTCCACAATGTGAAAAGATTTTATGTGCACCACCTCCAAAGATAAATAATGGAACCTTCTCCCCGAGCCACAAGGACATATTTGGATATAATGACGTAGCAACGTACAAATGCGATGAAACATCTGGTGGGGATGAATTCTCACTTGTTGGAAACAGCCAGATTCATTGCTCTGGCAAGGATGTATGGAGTAGTGACCCTCCTGAGTGCAAAGTGGTCAAATGTCCATATCCAGTCATTAAAAATGGAAAGCTGACATCAGGATTTAGTAAGAAATATTACTACAGTGCAAAGGTCATGTTTAAATGTAACCAGGAGCTTTTCCTCACGGAAGTAACATAGTCGTCTGTGAGAGCAATAATACGTGGCAGCCTCCAATTTCAATATGTGGAAAAGAACGACTCCCTCCCCCTCCCCCTCCCAGTCCCCATCCCACAACACCTACCACTGCAAATCCTCCTGGTTTTGGTGTCTCAGTAAGTCCCTTTTTCAAAGACTGTCCACTTGGCTGTGGATGTTCAAATGGATGGATCGTTTTATTGATTGTTACGACTCTGCTGGAGTTCCAATAATTTGTATATGTCTTTACAAGTCTTCAAAGAAGAAAAAAAGGAAAACAGAGCCGTAAGCTGAATATACCATCCACCAGGATAAATGATATTTTTTAAGCACAAGCAAGCTGAATGGTTTCCACAAATTGGCCTATATTTTTATGTTTTGAATTCCATTAAAGATCTTCAGTTATAGAATAACTTCTATAATTTCACTATATGAACGTAGCTAGTTAACTATAATGGTAGCATTTTAATGTATTTTGAATGTAGTTATCCTTTAATACATGTTCATAGTGTGTGTTGTGTTATGAACATATTACCTGTTTTCCCTTAAATAACACTTTCTATCCTTGGTAATATCAATGTATGGAAATTATTTTATAAGATCTAAAAATCTTAAAGAACTACAGTTCAAAGTAAAATTATATTTAATTGATAATATAATTTGGAGATTCTTTTCATTCAAAAATTAGTTCTATCATTTAACATTCATTCTTTTAATAGCTTGAAAATAGTGATATATTTTTGCATGAAGAAAAGCATTTACAAATATGAATAAACTGCTTCAGCTTTTATCCATTAAAAAAATTGAAAAGTGAGAATTAGGGCAACTTTGATGTCATTGACTTGGAATATTAGAAAATTTTCTAAAAGTTAATACAACAACATTCTTTTATTGTTTGGTTGCTTGGGCTTTTGTTATTGCTGTTTTGTTTTATTCTGTTTTGTTTGTAATATCTTTAGTTACTTAAGGAAGTTTAAATATTTACACATGGTACTTGTTTTTACCTCTATAAACATCAATAAACCAGTATAAAATTTCAGTAAGATTTCAGAAATAGAAACCTACCTCGGTAAAAAAATTTAGAAGACTCCAACACTGGCAACGTGGATGTTGGTTTATGGTTCAAAGTGAACAGTGTCGTGACCTTGTGGTTTCCTTAAAGTGTATTCCATGTACTAAGAAACCTACTCCAAATCCTGGCAGTAGGTCGTGTTCTTTATCCCGCTAAATAACTTGGATATTACTTTAAGCATGCCCTCTAAGATTAAGTAGTTCATATACCACAAATGAAAATAAACAAGTTATGCCAGGACCTTTGTCTACCTGCACTCTTCCTCCCATTGGAAGCCTTCCAGCCTTCCACATTATTGGTACTCCACTTACCTCATCATTTCACATAGTCCTGAAAGACTATGTAAAAATTAAGCAACATATTTCAGAGACAGCTACTTTACTTGACCTACTTATACTTGGTCACATCAAAGAATAAAAAAAGTGAACATAGTTCCATAGTTCAGAAAGTACTTTATGATAGATATATTCTCTCCTTCTAACTGGGCAGTGTCTCTCCTAAAGGAGAGAAAGTGGGAAAATAAAAGATACTGTTCTTTTTAATTTTTTTTTTTACTTTATGTGACAGTATTGTTTGCATGTGTGTAAGTGCACCTGTGTTGTGCAGTGCCCACGGAAGAAAGAAGAGTGCATTCGATAAACCTGGAACTGGAGTTACAAACTGTTGTTTCCTGCCACCTGGGTGCTGAGATTCAAACCTGGGTCCTCTGCAAGAAGAGACGGTGCTCTTAACCACTGAGCCATCTCTCCAGCCCCATGAATGTCACTTATATTCAAGTCATATTTTTACAAGTCGTATTTTAAGTATTTATATTTAGTATCACAAGTTGGGTCATAAAAAAGTTGCCTTGATAGGGGGTAACTGGTGACTGACTCAAGAGTGAGTGAAAATAAATGTTGTTTTACTGCATTAAAGATATAGATTTGTCACAGTAAGCTCTCCATTCCCTTGGAATTTGTGGCAACATCAGGAAGACAGTGTAGCAGTAGAAATAAACAGAAATTCTTCAGTAAATAAAGTTTAATATTCAGATTTTGACATATTTTTCTTTTCTGCTTTTTAAGTTTTTTTATTGAATGTGTATTTCATATATAAAAGTCATCTTTATACCCCTTCCCTTTGGCACCCTCCCATAGCTCTCCTACTGGAGTTCATACAAGAGCAAGTTCACCCACTGGAATCTAGTCAGCCTATCTAGAGTCCCTCCCATTAAGTAGATGGGCATCTTCCTCACCCAGCAGTACTGAGCTGCCAGTAATTCTTAGTCTAAGATTGGGGCCTGCTATTCATTTCCACAGCTCTGTGCTTGGTTTTTGTCTGCTTAAGTTTGCATGTGTCTTGTGCATGCTGACACCATTGCTGTAAGTTTGTATGAGAAGAGTCCCAGAAGCCTGTAAGACTATTTCCATATGGTCATGCACCTCCTCCCTGGCTCTTACAATCTTTCCACCCTCTGTTCCACAGTAGTCCCTGAGCCCAGGGTGGATGGATTTTAATATAGGAGTCCTGTCCAAGAACCCACACTCTGCAGACTCTAATTCTCTGTGTTTGGCCATTTGTGACCTTTTGCATTTCTGGCCCTCTGTTGCATGGGAGCTTCATTGATGAGACTTAAAAGATACATTAGTTTTTCAAGATAGTAGTAATTGCTTTAGAAGCAAGAAATGTCCATACTCAAAAAAAAAGAGTATCATTCTCAGTCAAATACTTTATAGTTAAAAAAATAAGTTTACTCCCATACCAAATTTATTTTTCAGCCTTAAGATAGAGCTCAGTACTAGAATGCTTATGCTGGTATGTGCAAGGCCCTGGATTCAAACTCCAGTATTGAAAAAATTAACACTCCAGTTCATTATTTACATTTAATATTTGATTGTATATAAACATATTATTTGCCAAATAATTTACTTACATGTAAATGTAAACTAGTTTTTTTGTAAAAAAAAAAAAACAGTTCAAATGACATAAAAAGAAGTATATTTTAATTAAAACATTTTTTAAATGTAAATGTAAAATCCATATACAAAGGCAGCAATTGTTCATTTTATTGAAAACTGGTTCTTCAAATCTGGTAAAAATAAGATGGTTCATTTGAAGTTGGACCTTGTGGTACAGGTCTGTAATCCTGAGGGAGGAGGATGAGTAGGAGGATATAGTATTGATGATAAAAAGAAGTATATTTTAATTAAAACATTTTTTAAATGTAAATGTAAAATCCATATACAAAGGCAGCAATTGTTCATTTTATTGAAAACTGGTTCTTCAAATCTGGTAAAAATAAGATGGTTCATTTGAAGTTGGACCTTGTGGTACAGGTCTGTAATCCTGAGGGAGGAGGATGAGTAGGAGGATATAGTATTGATGAACTATCTTGGCTGAAGAGTGAATTGAAGATCAACATGGGTAACTTGGGGAGTCTCTCAAAAAGTAGAAAGAGGATAGGGAATATAGCTCAGTAGAGAGAGCTTTTCTAGTACTCAATCCCCAGAATCACACAACTATACACACACAAACACACACACACACACACACACACACCATGAAACTTGTTTATTTTAGAAGCTTCAAAAATTAAATAAATCCTTTTTGTAAATCACAAACAGTACCTTGCATGGTATCCAAATCTTTCAGGAAGTCCTTGGCCTCTCTCTTCTGCCTGATTGTCTTCAGTTTCCCTGAGCTGAAAGCTTCCATCACCAACGCATACAGGCAATGCTCTGCTTCCCTTTCAGTAGTCTTTGTAAATCCAGGAAGTTAATGCTCTTCTTAACTGTGTTCACTGTGTGTGTAGCTACCCAATAGATTGTTTTATTACTTGGATATGAAAGAATTACAGAGAGAATCCCAGAGTTTAAACATATGGTTCTTCCACTTCTATCCTTTAAAGCTATTAGAGCATCTAGATTAGAAAAAGGGGCCACAGCAGCTGCCACAATAAATACAGAACCACAAGACCATGTTGTTTTACAAACGTTGCTGAGTCAACAGAATCAACAATGTGTACTGGAATTTAGATCAACATGGCTAGTCATTCCATTCCATTCCTTTGTTGTTGTTGTTGTTGTTAGATATCTTTATTTTTTTCCATAGACTACATTTAATATTTTTATTGAGGTTTTGTGCATTTCATAAAATACATCTTAATCAAAATTTAGACCTCTCCCCATTCCTGCCCTCCAGCATCCCCACCACCAGATTTCAGTTATTATTTCAAATATGATAAATCATGTCTGATCAAGTTTTTCTATCAAGGTGTTCCTTGATGCAAGTTCATCCACTGGAGTCTAGTCAGCCTATCTAGAGTCACTCCCTTAAAGATGATCAACTCTCCCTCACCCCACAATAATCATTTGCCAACAGTTCCTTGGCTAGGTTTGGGGCCTGCTGCCCATGTCCCCCATTCTATGCTGGGTTTTTGTCTAATTGATTTGGCATGAGTCTTGGCAATGCTGACAACATTGCTGTAAGTTCATATGAACAAGTTTCAAGTGGCCAGAAAGTCTCTGCTTCCTTTTGTTCATACACCAACCCTGGCTTTTACAGTCTTTCCACCTCCTCTTCCACAATAGTCTCTGAGCCATAGGTGGGTGAGGTTTAATATAGGAGTACTGTCTAAGAGAACACACTCTACAGTCTCTTATTCTCTACAGTCTCTTATTAGCCAGTTGTGTTGTTCTGTGTGCATCTCACTCTATTGTATGGGGTAGCTTCGCTGGTCAGAGTTGAGGAATATATTTATACTCTCTCTACCCCATATTCCACTATGGTCCATGAGCCTTAAGTATAGAGATTCCACTGTAAATGTGTCACTTAAATCTGGGCATTTCTCAGATATATATTCTGTGTGTGACCAGAATATATGTGTGTGGAACTCTGTAATGGCCTCAATCTCTTGAAAAAAGAAGCTTCTTGATAAGGGATTTATAGTACA